TCTGACTTTAGCTTGTATGTATGTACGCTATGATAAAAAGGGAACCATCGACACCTTTGGGCTTTTGTAATTAGTGGAGAGGTTGTGTCGTGAAGGGTATCAATACCATTACTATCAGCAGCGCAATAACAGCATCGTTTTGCGTTACAGGTTATGTATATCGACCTATTCTCAGGTCGTCAACAAATTGACCCGCATCTGTGAGAACTTAGTGTTAGCCACCGACCCGACAGACTGGGAGGGCGGACCAGCTAAGTGAGCAGACGTAGATAGTAGAGGAAGACGGTATTAAAGCTCTTCAATGCTGAATCGATGCTCTTTGGGTGATACATCTAGTCTTTTGTAGAACACCCTCAATCCCTCCGAGCCCATTCTGTTACTTTAAATCAACTCACTCGTCTTAACCCAAATTCACGCCTAATCAAGCCCACACTTCCCATGATCCCTAAACAATCCGTCGTTTCAAGCAGGCTTAAACATACTGCAAGATCGCCTTCACTTCTTGCGCGTCGAAACTCCTGAAAGGAATAAGTAGAGTCTAAATCCATGGAAGAACAAATCAGGAAAGCATCGCCTGTCCCAATGACCAAAGATCCTGAGTGAACTGTTCGCCCTTTCTCAACCGCTGGGCTATCCTTCCTTGCTATGTTACCTATCTTTATACGGCCCAACGTCACTTACACTTTTAATCCAGTAGCCATCGTGGAACTTGATTGTATGAGATCAGATCGTCTAACTCATCAGTTTCTGACGCCCGTTCTTCCCGCATTCTAACATCTGATTCGTATATCTCTCGTCATTTTTCCTTACCAATAGCTGGGAAATTCATTACCAAAGAAGCAACAGTCATCTATTTAACAAACCACTTCTTCAAGTATCAGTGTCTCGATTAGTCGCAGTTGAAAGAACCCTTCTCGGTCGTTATGGACGAGTGGATTATCTCACCCTTTTGGGCATCAATATCAGAAGGAAACTTGCCAAGAAGAGCATCATACTCTCCGGCCCTATTTAGTGTAAGTCTTGGCTATCCCACTTAAGACTCCATTCCTAACGATGATGTAAGGAAAGCGAGTGTCACACAAGATGGTTGTCGAATGCAGTTGGAATGTCAGGTGGCTCAACAAGCCGGTCCCATATATCCTGCGGTGGTTTGGTAGAGGCTGCGACGATGTGTACATCAATGTCGCCTTGCACTTAGTAATCGAAGGAGAGCCTTACCGTATAGTGTTTCTAAAAAAGGGCGGTCCCCTCATTGTGCCTGACTCTGCTCATGACCCACCCCCAGCACCCGATGATGGTCACCAGCGCCGAGTGATGGAAGAGCCGAACAAGTGGCACCTACCAGGTGGGATATGCCGGGATAACGATCAAAATCTATTCGATTGGCTCTGGTCGGATATCAATGCGAAATTGTAAGTGCTTTGATCTCAGTCCTCCCTTGGCTATCTTCACAGGTTAATCAATGGCAGGGGTCTCTCCATCATAGAAGTCACAGCTCTGATCCACAGCACGGTTGTGATTGTTGATAATGAAAACGGTGAAGGCGAGAGAAAGGTTCTTGCCCTGACCGTTGCGGCCAGGCATGTACGAGATATCCCACTCACCCGATACACTGCACATGGCTTCTCCGAGCACCGCTGGTGTGGGGAGGAGGATGTTGCCGACGAAGATTTTCCGATGAGGAAATGTGCCGCGTTGCGTCGACATCTTCAGGGCCATCTAAACCGTCTAGAATTAGCCCGTAGTAGCCGCAGATTTCCTAGACTTCCAATCCTCACCATGATGCCGGGGCTCTTTCCGAAGTTTCCTTAGGTGGCCAGGCACGGATCCAACATGGTCAACAGTAGTTGTATAGCCTGGTAGCGATTTGGGGTAGATTTTATAATCTTATTATATCAGCGTCTTCAACTCGATCATCCAATAATGCCCTATGTGTTGCCTAAGTTAGCTGATCAGTCATGTCTCAAAGCAGATTCATGAACTATGATGAAACTATGCAAACACTGGCAGACAAAGAGTATAAGTAAGTAGTAACGTGTGACAACCTTTATCACTAGCCTTACCTAAGTAAGCTCGTCCTTTTCAGACATTCGTTGTAGAACTCATCCGAAGATTTCGCACCTGTTCGTTCAGCAGCTAAAGCTACCTAGGTACAGTAGGTGAGGTTAGGTACTGTAGGAAACGAGTTCGGATGCTGTGGATTAGCTGCCGCAACCCCTGCGAACCCCTGCGTACCGACCCTGTGATACCGCCGAACCAACTAATAATCTTATCGGTTCTGCTGTAGACCGCCTCATCCATGAGCCCCACCCTGGTTGCCCGTTGATTGATAGCACTCAACGTGCAAACATGAATTCACCCCCATTGTCCTTCTCTTCACTCTATGTGGGTTTCATTTATTGAGAGTTTTCTACATTGATTTCCTGAATGTCACCGTCTTTTACCACTCTCCCTCACCCGTGCGTTGCCAACACTCATTCTGGCACAAGTTGCACGGCCGCTTCGGGACCAGCTTAGCTTAAGCAGTGATCACTGATCAGTAGGGCCCTGGCAGGTCTCATGACTTCTATCCGTTCTTTAATCGCTCCCTACCTTACCTACAGCTTTCTAGAGCTTTCCATTTCTCCAGGACCGACTTGTCTGCGCCATGTCCAGGATACTGGCTGATAAGGAAATCGATGATGCTTCCAAGAAGCTAGCTGCATTCCGTGCAGTCAGTGCAGAGGAGGACTTCCTCCAACGCTATGCCGATCTTCTGAGTAGCTATAAGCAACTGAAGAGTGACTTCGAAGAGGAGAAAGTCAACCGAGAGCGCTATAAACAGCTCGCGCGAACCCAGGAACGAAACCCCTTCGTGCTGGTTCTCATTGATGGAGACGGATACATTTTTGGAGATGAATTCCTTCACATGGGTGCCGATGGAGGCCCGCGGTTGGCTCAACATCTGAACAACGTAGTTAAGCAAAGCCTTCGCAAGAAAGGCCTGGATAATTGCGATATAATGGTTCGCGTCTATGCTAATCTCGCAAACCTATCCCGAATTCTGTCCAAACATGGACTTGCAACCCCCGATAAGCGATCTCTCTCCCCCTTTGTGGCCAACTTCAACCGATCATATGGCCTAATGGACTTCGTTGATGCCGGTGAGCTTAAGGAAAACGCCGACTTCAAGATACGGGCTCTCTTAAATCTATATGCCGAGAATGCCCAGTGCAAGCACATCTACGCTGCGTTATGCCATGACGTTGGCTATCTCGGAGAGTTGACCAAGTTCAGGGGAAACCGGGACAGATTTACACTTCTACGATCGCCTGGTCTCCTTTTTCACGACCAATTTCTAAAATTGGATCTGGAAGTCGAAGAACTGCGAGGCGTCTTTCGTACAGCACCGCTCGAGGGGCTCGTCTCCCTCAACACAAAACCCAATTCAAGTGCCGATCTATTCAAGACTACTCCTTCGGCTAGCCCTTCTGTTGCGACCGATACGGCCCGCCGCGGTATCGGTTCGCGGGAATCCCAAAAAATATGCCAATACTACCCGGTTGGTAAGTGTCGATTTGGAAGGGAATGCATCAACGCCCACATCGATGCCAGGATTCCGGCTTCGGCCAACCCAACCAAGTCCCTTTATGCTTCTCAAGCTGGCCATTATAGTAATTTCGACAGCGACACTGCAAGCGGCTCCGGTCGTGTGAAGTCACTGGTCACTTCATCGTTATTTAGATTTGACGATGGGGGCGAACCTGCAGATCAGTTACCAAAGAAAAGTGAAATACCGGACGGCCATGTGGCTGTGAACAAGAACTCGCATCGTCTGGATCCATACATCCCACCCCCCAGTTCAGTGGCCTCTTCCAGACTCAGGGAACTATCTACCGTTAGAAAGTTCTGCAACAACAAACAACTCACAAATTCCTGCGCCGACGAGAATTGCAGATATGAACACAAGCCGCTCCCAGAAGAACTACTCCCTGCGCTAGAGTGGCTATCGCGTTCACTGCCTTGTAGCAGTCGAGGGTTCTGTAGAGATCAGAACTGTGTTCAGGGCCATATGTGTCAGAACATGGAATGTCATCAACGTGGTGGCAAGATCAAATGCAAATTGCCAGTATACGCACACGGAGATCTGACCCTTGATCACTATGTCCCTGCTAATGCGGAAAACACGAATAATGTGACCAACAGCCATACTCCGCTTACAGCCTCACCCTTGAGCAGTCATGTGAATCAAGTTCCAGATGACGAAAACCCCTGGGACTTTTCCTAGTTCGACACAGCCGCGAAACGTGGAGGTGGCTATGGAGTAGGTGGAAAATCAGACGAGAATACTCCCCTATCAACTGCGAATCTCCACAAGCCTCCCCGTTCCTGATGGATCAGGCTAACCGTGGATTTCGTCTTCCGCAGTCTTACCGAGCGGTAAAGATATAACGTCTTTTACTGCAGGGTATACGCTAGCATGTTGACGAATGTAATAAATTCGCCAAATCCAGCATACCCAGAATCCCAACCTCACTGATAGAGGAAAGTGGTATACAAATGTGCATAAAAACAATTGAAAGCTATCAATTAGCTTTATATCACATATACAAGGATCGAAAAATGGAGTAAGATGTCTGAGCAAAGCATTGAAGGCTTTACCCAAGTGTGCTCTCACAATAATACAACCCTATATACACTATACTCACCCTGTCTTGTCTGTGCCTGCAATCCTGTTAAGAATCCCGTGAATAACTAGCACGTCCACTTGTCCATATCATAGTACGTTACCCATATCCACCATCATCTGTCAATATTGTTCATAGCGACGCCGATCTCTCCAGATGTAAGTTGTTAGCCCCGTTTGAATGCCAAGATCTTCTTCGTCCACGAATCCCCATTCTCGGTTAAAGATACCCCGAGCAATTCTAGCACACAATTAGTCAATTAAGTCGCCGCATCTGCAAGTCTAATCGGGCTCCGGCTTGGCTTGGCATGTCCGCAACCACAAATGATCGAAAGGCCTCGTGGCCCAATGGCAAGGCGTCTGACTACGAGGGAGAGTCATTTCACGATTCACTCTTCATGATAATCAGGAGATTCTGGGTTCGACCCCCAGCGAGGTCATCGAGAGACAGAGACAGTCAATTTTTTTCCCTTTTGATCTTTACAAAGACCATGCAGGGCCCAAGCCTATCGGTTCTACTCTTCTTTTACAAGACCATTCAACTTAGACCCGTTCGGCTCGCAACATTGGGTCGACAGTCAAATCCTGAAGGCGGGCCCCTTGGTTCTTCAATTATCACTATCGGAAAGGGTGCAGAGCGTCCAATTTTCCCCATAACACCTTTCGACACCGAGTCATAATTGAGTATGGGTCGAGGATAGTATTTTGTCTAGGCTCAGGCATTCTCGACTCGAGAAAATGTTAAAAAGCTTCGGAAAAGGCCTCTTCTATAGCAACGTCCTGACAGATCTATTTTAATGTGTAGCTCAGCCATCTTTCACTCTGTCAAACCAAATGAACCCGTCGCCGTCAAATTCCAATCCCATCTTGACGGCCCTGTCATTCAGGAACATAAATTTTGCCGCCATAAGGCAGCTATCGCCCGACTGGAAATTGCTGCAGTCCATGATGTATTCCGTTTGATCGCGCACGTGATCGAAAGCCACGAAGAAGCCCATGGACCGATCACTCGCATCAATGAAGAGTTTATCTTCCTTAACTTCCATGGCCATTCCTTTGTAGCCGGGGTTCCAATACTCGCCTGTGTACGCACTTAGCGGCATCTTCTGCGGCTCTGCCTCTTCGCGTAAGACGCGTCGTAGCTCCTCCTGTTTTGGGTCATCCTCGTATCTTTGGTTCCTATCGTCATTCAGTTTGCTCCAATCCGGCCGTTCTGATAAAGGCACGCCCAAAACTTCGTCGATCAACTCCCTAGACAGGATCGTGACGATATCTCCTGCATCAGACGAGTTCCCGAATATGGAACCCCCAAGTTTGAACTCGGGTACGAAGAAGAACCGACTGCCGAATCCATCTATACCGCCGTCATGACCAATCACCATACGGCCCCGGTAGTAGAATATCTCCAGGCCAGCAGCGTAGAATTCCGGCGAAGTGAACGGCTCTGGGTGGAAGTCCTCAGAGGATGTGAAAGTTCGCATCTTAGTAAGTCCTTTATAGACCTCCTCGTCGATCGGGTGTTCCCGATTCATCAACGCCTTTACCCATTTTATGAAGTCATTCACGCTCGTGATAATTGAGCCAGCTCCTTGCGCTTCAGGACAATCCAACGCCTCGAAGCCAATGTAACGCTCGTCTTTCTTATCCCATGCATACCCGGTGGCGATCCGATCACCAAGACCAAATGACCGAGCACGCTCCGGTTGGAGATGAGTTGACGACATTCCCAGAGGTCCAAAGAAGTGTTCTTGGAGGAAATCGGCAAAAGCAAGCCTAGTCTTCTGTTCGACAAGGTACGTCGCAACTGTATACATAATATTGTTATACATGTACTTTGATCGGATTGGTGCGGTCATCTCTAGGTTTCGTAAGTTTCTCGTGACAGATCTCGCATCATCTGGCTTTGCGGCTCGCGGACCCAGATATGAGTCGTCGTGTCTATAAGTGTCAGCCATAATAATCGTCTAAGCGAGTCTCTGCAAGATGCTCACCTCGGCATACCTGTCCTATGGCTAAGAATATCCTCGACTGTGACCCCTTCTGTATACCCCTGACCTGACAGGACGAAATCTTCGGGCAGCAGTTTTGACATAATGGCATCGTACTGCACATCAGGATGCTTGTCGTCATCACGGACCAGTAAACCAACTGATGCGGCCGTCAACGACTTTGAAGAGGATGCGATGTCAAAAAGAGTGTCTCCGGTGCATGGCTTCGGTGGATCGAGCGATGCGAAACCGTACCCTACAGAGAATGTACGCTCGCCTTCAACGACTGCGATAGCAAGACCAGGTACGTGGTACTTTTTCATGAGCTCCTCCACGTGTGAAGGGAAGTCTGGAGAGTGAAGAAAATCCATGGCTCGATGGGTTAATCGCCCAAACTTTCTCAAAAACTTTTTCGTGAATTGTATTGCCTTACGCTACAAGTTGTCGGATGGCTAACGCCCATTGACTTCTACTACGTGTCTATTTATGAGCGTTTTCACAAACTCAATCTCGTTTCGACGAAAATCGAACACTCGAATACTTTACCTAAACAAAATACATATTTGCTGACATCCACAAAGTGAGTCACCGGCAATGACGCTGGGCGTCAGATTGATTTTTAGGCGGCATTAGTCACAACGTGCAAAGCTCCATATAGCCAATGACAGATTCAAGTAAGTAGACGGCGGCTCATGCGCATACAACAGATACGCCGTATAGCACTGGATGTCCCTAACCTGTAACTTTCAAGACGATTACATAGGGCGAAGAGCAGAATGAAAACAGGTGCAAAATTTGTTTGGGATCGGCGCGGTGCTCGATAAATTGGGTAAGATCTCGACGTCATAACTTAAATTGAGCTTACACCGACTAAAACTACCTTTTTATCAGCATTTATTTCCAAGGCCATGCACTCTTAACTCTGAATTGTCGGTACATGACTCGAAGGACTGATGTTGTTTAAGCGGTGAACTCGTCAGTCTTGTGACTACTCACTCGTCTCTTCGACGTGGACTAGTCCGCGATGTTGCGGACTGCGGATTGCCACCCTCACGCTTCGGGCTTCCCCAAGGCAAGGCAAGACAAACAATCTCGCGATTGTGCATAATATCAGCTGTTTCATTGTCGCCGACTTATAAACGCAGATACTGTTAGTGACTTTGCGGATGGTGGTGTGGTCTTCATCACGACAGGAATGCTGGTTCTCAATTTTCGAGCCGAACTGTAGATGTCACTGGTCCGGTGCACGCCGAGGCCGTACGGAGAGAGCTGGCGGGTCAACACATTGTCTCGGACGCCTCCGTCGCCAATGCTTCCGAAATTGAAGGTAGAAGACCCCATGATTCAGATGTGTGTATGCAAGTTTTGGGTTCAGGTCGAGCCTTACGCGAAGGCGCCACGGTAGAAAGTCGAGATATCAGGTCGGTAAGAGTTGATGGCTTGGAGCTGAGGCTCTCGCTGTCTGAACAATCAATGGGACTGTTGCTATTGCGTTTCTGTACGGCCATTCATTATGTTCTTCTTCAACATCAGGGAGCTGGTTTTCAGCAATATCCGGATGCCGATCGACTCGATCTCTACTTCTTCAAGCGTTCGATTTCTAGTCTCAAAACCGGCATGCTTCCCGGGGAAGAAAGCTCTAATCCCATTTATAAGACTCTTGTTAAGAGCAGATCCTTATTCCACGACATGAGGCTTTGCTCTAGATCCCATTAGGCTTGCTGTAGTGTGTTGCTGCTTGAAGATGTAAAGGAAACTTGCTATTCATGTCAGAAGTTTAGTTACCTGATACTACAGTCCTGCTATTCGATCTTAAGTGCTCACAACCCCCCATCAACCGATATCAGCAGACACACCTCGTCTAGGGCTAATCCAGCAACAAACAGTACGCTTCTTAACCTAGAATTGGGGTTTGGGGTTCTCGGAGGTTTGCACACCGAATGAGAGAAGTTGGCACGCCGGTGACAAGAGCTGACCGCAACCCCGCAACCCCTCTTGCTGCCCCCAAGTGAGAAAGAGCTGTGCGGGGTATTGCATTACAGGCCATTTAGCTGTCTATTAGCACTACTAAATCCATAATAGCGATGCCCCCAGCCCCATTATTCAGTGCGATATCAGCACTCGTCTCACTGAGATTATTCCTTAGACCCGCTATACCACTGGGCGAATGGCCTCACATAAAGGAGCATAAAACCACGACGACGTACTGCGCCTGCAGTGAAAGATGCTCAACGACACGTAAAATCTGGGAGTGGGTCAACCTGGTAGGCAGGTACTTGCTTGCCTGAATATTGAATGAAACGTCAAGTGCATGTCCCTACCTAAATAGGATCTGTTGTATTGCCGTTCCGTGACAACCCCTCTCTGTACGCCTTCCCCTCGAACACATTGTCAATATCACGGGGGGGTCAAGTGTTAAGCGATTACGCTTCAGCTATCGACTTTGAAATTGTCTTACTCACACCAGGTCTCCGAAAGCTGCTCGTAATTATACGGCATTTCAATATCATGGTGTCTCGTTTGTGAACCATCAGTAAACACGACACGATGGCTCGCTCGCGACATGAATTAAGCCACGGATGGCAGTTTCGAGAGTACGGCGGTAGTTCATCGAAGGAAGATCCATGGCTCTCAGTACAGAGTGTCCCGACTCAGGTTCATATGGATCTGTTGGCCAACAAGAAGTATGTCGATGACCCGTTTCAATATGGCCTGCCTCATTGCACAACGTGATCGACGTGTATCCCGGTTGCGATTATGCAGCTCACAATAGCATAGAATACCAGACCCTTTCTTAGACCTCAACGAGTTAGCAGTCCGGTCACTTCCGGAAAAGCAATGGACTTATAGAACTAAAATCGCTAAACCTACGGAGCCGTCCTCCGAGACACCGGTTATTACAGATTTGGTGTTCGAGGGTCTTGACACTTTTGCAACAGTCTTTTTAAATGGTGCCGAGATTTTGAAGTCCGATAACATGTTCGTTTCTCATCGGATCGATGTGACCAGCCTCCTAAGAGACACGAACGAGCTGGAAATAAATTTCGATTCAGCTATGCTCCGCGGTATAGACTTAGTCAAGGAGCATTCCCACGAACATACTTTCTATGTGAGACAGACAGACATCAGCCGTGTCCCCGTGCGAAAAGCTCAGTGTAGGTGACACCTGAGTAATTCGTCCGCTCCTTGAGTCTATTTCAACGCTCGAAATCTCAGCCCCTCATCTGAGGCCTACTCATTCATCTACCCCAGATTTCAGAAAGAAGTGGCTGACTGTTCATGACTGCAGACCATTGGGGTTGGGATTGGGGTCCTATACTGATTACGGCTGGTCCCTGGAAACCTATCTACCTTGAGCAATATCTTTGTAAAGTTGACGACGTTTGGTCCGAGTGTGAGGTCAGTGAGGACCTGCGGACTTGTTCGGGTCGTATTGTGGCCAAGGCATCCGA